AAATACCGCAGCTAATTCAGCAGACTTGAAGCTCACTGGAACAATTGCAACTACTTCCCGCCAAGCACATAGGCCGCAACGCGGGGTTCTTCAATTCTCGATTTCTACCTCCGCGCTCGCTAAGTAAGAATAACTCTCTCACCGAACTCGTTTCCTTCTATTTAAACCATAATACTTCCGCTGATAATTTGAATCCTTGCGCGTTCTACTAAAATTTACATATTCTGGCATTGGCAGTTCTAGGGGAAAGTAAGGCTTGACAGGAAAGATAGTTTAAACTTAAAATAAATGTTAGTTAAAATAAATATAAACCCTACAAGTTGGACTAGTTTATTATTAGCCACTAGACATCGAATTCTTCAGCCATTTATGAATTGAGTTTACAGATATCAAGAACGTAAGTATCAAGCCTATATGTTAATGGAGGCTCAGACCGCAATGAGCTCAGGATAACAAATAAGTTACAATGAAGATTATGAATTTGAGAACAAGTAAGTTTGTTTCAAACAACCTATTTGCATATGTGAACTACTCTATTCTAAATCAAGATGATTACTATAAATTCTATTCCTGTTATTGCTGATTCTTTAAGAACTGATGACGGTGATGAGTTATCCAAAAATGAAAGTGTTTGTGATTCTAATAAGGACGATGATGTTAATTCTAATAAGTCAGTCACCTCCCATAAATAATTCATTGGATAAAAACATTATGATGTTTAGTAATATTTCCTTACATTTTTGTGACATTTCAGAAACTGTTTCAAAATTCAATGGAACTGATAAATATACGTTTGAATCATTCATTTGCAATTTAGAAGAATCTTTTTAAATTATTTCAGTTATCCGAATTACAAAATATAGTGTTTACTAAAAAATTGCTAACTGGTTCTTTTAGAATATTTATTCAGTCTTTCAAAGGTATATATCATGTGACAAGTGAAAAGAAAATCTTTTACCTGAATTTGATTCTTAAAACTCAGTGAATCCCTCTCTGAGTATGTAATTACAATGTAAGCAATAGTCATAGTTCTGTTGACAATTCATCCTTACTTGATTATGTAATTAATGGAATACCTGATCCAAATAGCAACAAAATTATTTTGTTATGGTGTATTTTTGAATTTAAAGAGAAATTAAAAGTATATGAGAAAATTCGCACTCCAGATGCCTAAGGGTTATTCAAGTACTAACACGTGAAATACAGCATGTATTATACCTAGTAAGAGTAAAGAACCAAGGTGTTATGATCATGGAAGCATAGGTCATAATTCAAACTTGTAACTATAAAGGTAAAAAGGATTTGAATGCTTTAAAAGTAATTTGTTTGGACGCAAAGCCACAGACTGTTGCAAAACATCACCTAAAAATATCGAAGATGCCAAAACTGTAACTCGAGTTACTCAGACTTGTCAGGAAGAAATGGATAAAACTTAATTGAGGTAATTTGCAAATAGATACTGGTAGTCAAGTAATGTTAATCCGAGCAGATGTATATAAGAAGATAGATTTCCCTGATCTACAGCAAATCTACAAGGAATGGGATTTGGCAAAGGGAAAATTAAACCTATACAAAGATTTAAAGATCAATTTGAAATTGATAATTTATCATTTCAAATTGTTAATGTTTCTACAAGCTATCATTGGTACTGATGTTATTAGGCAATTAACTATAAATGAAAAAGGAGTTGAAACTAAAAAAATTGCAGCCAGAATGCATAGTGATATTTAAAATGACAAGGAAATCGACTTAAATCACATTAAAGACGGGATGCGTAAAAATCAAATAAATACTACAGTTATTAACATACTACAAGCTGAATACAATAAAAGCATCTACCCTGAAGATGAGAACACTGTCAAGAGACAAACTTCCAGTTCACTGTGAGCCGAGACCCCCCCCCCACACACAGCAGTATGAAATTGATAAACAGGTTTCTCATTGGTTAGATAAACTAATCATAAAACCAAGGTGTTCTGATTACTCAAGAAATGTGTTCAGCAGAAAGACAACTCATATCAATTATGTGTGGATTATACATACCTGAGAAAAAAAATTCGTGATCGTTTCCCTCTGCAATTAATTGATGTCGGCGCTGATAAATTAGAGAGGGCAATAATATACACTATATATATTAGACTTGAAAATGAGATTTTTCATCTTGAAGTAGACAAAAAAAGTACAAAATACACATCTTTCATACCACAAAATAGACAATTTCAATTTTTGAAAGTCCCTTATAATCTTGCTAATAGCCCAATCATTTTCCAAAGATGATGTATTTTTCCTATGATATTTTTTTGCAATGACGTATTTTGTGATCCTTTCAAGGATAACACTGTGGCAATCTATATGAACAGTATCATTATTCTTTCCAAAAACAAAACTCAAGGAATCTAAAAATTGAAATGTGTGTTACAGGCTGCATCAGAATATGGATTAGAAAAAAATATTAAGAATTGTCAATTTTTAAAATGTGAAATCAAATTTTAAGGTCACAAAATTAAAGATGGGAAATTATATGCTTCTTCTAAAATGAAAGCAGTAATTAACTGTTCGGAGCCTAATTATAAAAAGGATGTAGGCTTAGCTGGTTATTACAGGAAAGTCATACCTAATTATTCATTAGTTACAAAATTGCTTGGTGATTTATTGAAGATTCTAAATTTGAGTTTGGAAATAAAGAACTTTATGCTTTTAATGAATTTAAACACATGTTGACATCTGTACCTGTTTTGTGTTTTATAATCCTGTACCTGTTTTGTGTTTTATAATCTGTACCTGTTATGTGTAGCTGAAACAGAAAATACACACCAATGGTAGTGCTGATGGTTATGGTGCAGTTCTGCTACAGAAATCCTGAACTGATAATCAGATGCATCCAGTTTATATGAGTAGGAAAACAGCAGACATTGAACATTCATATTCGAGCTATGAATTAGAAGTTAAAGCAGTCGCAGAAGCTCTAAAAATATACAGGGTGTATGTATTAGGTATTAGCTTTAAAACTGAGAGATTATAATGCATTCAAACAAACCATGAGAAAGATATTTATACCGAAATTTAGTTCACCATTAATGTTACAAGATTACGATTATTCAATCAAACACAGAGCTGGTACCTGTATTCAACTTGTTGAAAATTTGAGTAGAAGCCCTGTATGTATGGCAGTTCAATATGGTATAACATTTAAGATAATTCAAGCTCAAGAAACTGAAAAAAATATAAAAGCTATAAAAAAAGTTTTGGCATCACAACTGTGTTAAGATTATTGCTTGCAGAATGACATGCTTTACAAAATGGTGGATAGAATTGAAGTATTACTAATACTTCAGAATATGCAACTTGAAGTAATTAAAGACACACATGAACAAGGCCAAACTGCTACCAAATGTACTAAAGATTATTTTAAACTATAATTTTATATTCCTAAGTTGACAAAGAAAAACTGAAAAATGCATCACAAATTGTATTACCTATATACTGGCCAACTGAAAATCTGGAAAGAAAGAAAGCTTGGTTTGGTTTGTGTGATTATTGCAAAGCCTTGAGGGCTATCTGCCTAAGAGATGCCTTTGTGCAGGACTTTCTAAGGGAAACTGGCTTGCATGTACGTTACACATGGGCAAAACAATGAAAACGCACATGCAGCTAGCCTGTTTGTGGGATTTGAATCTAGGACTGAACTATTAGCGTTCAGTGACTTTACCTCTGTTGGGCCAGAGAGAAGGATTATTATATATTTTAAAGTAACCCTATGAAATAGTATAAGCATGTAAATGCCACCCAACAAATTATTAATTCAACTTTTCAAAGAAGCATAAATTTGACACCATTCAAGCTTTTGTTTGGTATGAAAATGAAGACAAGAGGCTAAAAGAACAGACATAAGCAGAATGGCTTCATCAATCTAATCTACACAAAGAGGTGAAAAAACAGATTCAGAAGATCCGAGAGGAAAATCGAGACTTACAATCATAGTCGAAAATTCCCTTGTAAATACAAAATCAATGATATGGAAGCTATCAAACATACCTAATTAGGGCCAGGTATTAAGGGATAATCCTGCTTTTTTAGGTACACACAAAGTCATCAGAGTGAAAAGTAATGACATGACACGGAGAAGATTACACTTATCGAAGGATCTTTGAAGACTAGTACCTGTACTGAATACCTGAAACTATGTTCAGATAATCTTTGATAATACACCAATTTTGATGATTCCTGGTACAGAATTTTTCCCAATTTAACTAAAGGACTATTGATTTTAAAATGTGAACTATTTTAAGAGGGATGAAGATGATGTCTACGGATGAAATGAATTAAAACACATTCACTTTTTTTTTTTTTTTTTTTTTTTTTTCTTCTTCTTCAGTAAAACCCAAAACCCAGCGAGACTCAAAATTCAGTGAAACTTAAAATTCTGTCCTCTTTTTTTTTCCCCCTCAGATTCACAGAAGATGATCTTATTTTCAGCACGCCAACGTGCAGACTGTCAGAATGAACAAGAATGAGAGGGATGTCATTTTTCGCATTTCTCAGATGGCATTGCATGCTGTCTGATAGAACTCTGGTTTTGAGGAAAAAAATGAGACGAGACCGCCCTGACGAATGAAAAGATAATTGATAAAACACAAGATGTATACATTGAAAAGATGAAAGGACTTTTTTCTATTTTTCTTTGCTGAGACAGTATTTTTGTAAATATTCGTATTCCTGCAGTTCATTACCATAGTGTGTAGAAATCATTAATGTCTTCACTAAATATTCAGATTATCTATCAGTTGAACTAGTTTATTATTAGCCTCTAGACATCGAATTCTTTAGCCATTTATGAAATAAGTTTGCAGATGTCAAGAATAGTAAGTATCGAGCCTATATTATAGTGACCACTCATGCTGCTTTCTTTTTCTTCAGGGCATGAAGGGTTATTATAAGTAGTACCAGCTGTACATTCCCTACAACATGAAAATTAAATTTAAGATTCAAAAGAAACTCACCATTCCATACAAAAGATCAAGAGCTCGAAGTCGTATGGATTCATCTTTATCATCCAAACACTGTAATACTAAATCTTTATGTGCCTGGACACTTTTAGGGTGTGTCTTTAAAATTTTTGACATGGCTAAAAGACCCAAGTACTTTACTGTAAAAAAATATTAAATATATGTATTTTTAATAAATATTCAAAATAATTCAGATTAAATTTAAACAACACATCTGGTTGAAAAATAGCACCTTCATAATACTCAGAACTGTTTACATTCACACATGATTATTAAATACACAGCAGGGAAAAATATGCTGCTCTAAAATAGGAGTTAAATGCACAAAATTAACTGATGAACAAAAATAGAAAACTATTTATATTTTCATTGTTTTCCTAAAAATATAAATTTATAATTAGTGTTTGCATTATAGCATAAGCTGTTTTGCAAGAAATAACAGAGGATTCTTACACATTTCTGTACAGAGAAATTAATTTGTTAGGCTACATTTGATCTGCTAGGCAAATCTTGAGCACTTTTGCTTGCCCTGCCTGTTTCAAACATCGTCATTCCTTTACCATCCAGTTAGCTTCCCCTCTTCTAGTGCCACTGGCAGTCATAAGGTCAGTCAGTGAATATATTTATTTCCAGTTGACAGATGAAATGATCTAATAGGCTCATTGTGCCTGATTACATTGCAATAAAACAAGTATGCTTTCTGTGATTTTTTAATACTGTATCACATTTTTTGTTAGCAGTTTCAAACAATAAAATATTTTATGATTGTCTACAAAACTGAGTATGTTTTTGGGCTCTGACTTTTCAAGCACATTGCGCCCGATCATGTCATGCATTGTAAAATGTTTTAATAATTAAAATATTGCATATTGCAAAGTTTGACAAAGACATTTTCATAACATTATAAATATTTGTTTGATTCTAGCTTTAGAATATCGAAAAAAGTTTGATGATTTGAGAAACCTTTTAAGAAATTCACCATTTATTGGAGGCATCAGTTGAAGACAATGAGGATGTCAAGAGATTTTGATGTTGAAAGCTTCAAAAGATGGTGTAGAAGAACATGAAGAGAGATCAGAGACAGAACAAGAGGGAAACGAAGACGATGTCATTGACGAAAATACTCACTTTTATTTGGAAAAAAGCCAGATCACAACAGTCTTTTGGCTTCAGTAGTGATGGTAATGTTTTGGTGCCCTACATTCCAAGAAAAAATAAAAATGTCCTTCTTGTATCATCATTGCATGATGACCAAGCTACTGATCTTTCTCTTGCAAAAAGCAGAAACCAGAAATAATCAATGTCCTTCTTGTATCATCATTGCATGATGACCAAGCTACTGATCTTTCTCTTGCAAAAAGCAGAAACCAGAAATAATCAGTTTCTGCAATGAAATCAAGTTAGGAGTAGATATTGCAGATAAAATGTGTGATTCGTATAATGTGTCTCAGAATGTAAAATGGTGGCTCTTTTACAATGTTAAACATTGCTTGTAATGGGTTCACAGCTCTTAAAAGAAGGCTGTTCATAAAAAAAAACTGTCTAACGAACTTATGCTTGGACAACTTGCTCAACGAAGTCTGAATTCTATTGAAATGCCAGTACACTTAGAAGAAAAATTAAAGAGATACAGTACAAAGTTCGTAATCCAGACTCATCGGGACTTTGGCGATTCCGAATTAGGGGTTTTTCCAGATTATAGATCATCAATTTACATCTGGCAAGATGGCATGCAAAAATTATACAATTAAAAATATGAAACCATAATTTATGAAATAAAGAGCAATTATAATCTAAAAGGTATCAAAATTTACAAAAAAAAAAAAAGCATAATATTTATTTGTTTACTTTAGTAAATATTTCTTTCAAAGTAAGTTGTTTAAGTTGCTTCGTTTTTTATGCTAATACTTTCTCTTTAATTCTATAAACAGACAATTTCTTGTTCAATTACAAAGTTCCACTGTTCAAGTCCTGTAATTGCTGTGTTGAATCGAGAATACCAACTAACTTCTCAATTTAAATTTTTCCGTTTTCAATAACCTCTCTGTCACTTTTTTCACAAACGGAAGCAGTATTTTCTGGATCTAGAACCATAACTACAGATTTCTCCATTCATTAATTGATTGATGATTGGGGCATTGTCATCGCAATGAAAAACTTCACAGTTATATAATTTTCATTTATTACCGCTTCTCCAAATTTCTTTACAAAATCCATTAACTGGAAAATTTCACCTTTAGTTTGCTATGTATGAATCACGCAATCTGCAACAGTAACTGAAATGCCTTAGAATCAGTGAAGATAATTTTAAACTAGCTTATACCGTTTGTTATAAATTAAACGCACATGCATAAAGCATACAAAAAAGAAGTTTGTGGCTTTGAGGTCTGGATTATAGATCATTCCAGATAATGGACATCGGGATTACAGACTCTGTACTGTATACTTCTAACAAAGAAGAACAGCAGCAGATAGAATATGAGAGTTTCAAGCCAGAGGGCGCTGGGGCGCTAGGAGAGGGGGATCTGCCGAGGGTTGCTACGTCATCAAACACGCGGCTTAACCCCGGATGTGCTGCATCCTGTTCGTGATGTCATCACGCATTATCACCTCGTATTATCTTGCTATTGCTACATCAACCACATGTTTCATCCTGTTTGTGTTGTAATCCAGTTTCATGCCGGTGCTTATCTATTAACAAAAATCCCCATGTGATTGCAACATGATAGAAGTTTCTAGTGCATTCTTTTTAGTTCAACAACGACCGCTAGAGGGCAGTAGTCTTACCCATAGCGCTTTCTGATTGGTTCTCGTGGCTCCTGAACAAGTTATTAACCATTATTTTTAATTGATTATACTATTTGACTTAATATAGTAGTATTTAATGAAAAAGGTTCATGTATTTGTCCATCTATGGCATGGGAAACGTGGACGATAACACAAAGCGGTGCTTTTATCTCCTGAATCCTATTATTTGATTATTATTTGATCGTATCTATCCTCTTTGTTCATCTGACTTAGTGGAAACCAGCATAAGGCTGATGGATTGCACATAGGCAATTCTGTCCAAACTTGCTCAGACCTTTGTACATCATCCATAATGAATGAATTCATAACTTTAAATAAATTTTGTTTCTATTTTAGGTTAAGATATTTTAAATTTCTCATTTCTTTATCTTACAAACATAATTTACGTAATTTTCTTTTCTTCTCGCCGTTAAATTAAATGCACTAATTTTAACACCATATTTTTTATATATAAACATAAGATTTTCTTCTTTTTTCACATTTTTAAGTTTTACATTCTTTTCCCCTACTTTTAACTTGCAAAAGTAATAGATTTTATAAAAGTAATACGTTTTCACAATTTTATTTATTTATTTTTTTTCTCTTTTTATTTTACAAAAGGTTTTTTTTTCCCTTCAGTTTAATCCTTCCTTTCCATGTTTTACATTTTTCACTTTATTTGTTTTACAAAAGCTGTACTTATTTTCATACGATTTTTTATTTATTTTTTACGAACTCCATCTTTTTTCCTATATTTTACTTCAAGAAGTAATTTAAAATTTTTCTTTTGTATAAAAGTATTTTTTTAATTCTTTGAAGGATTTTCTTCTCTCATTTCTTTTTTCTTTCTTTTATTTTCCTCTTAAGGTTTCTCTTAATGTTTTAAATACTTATTGATGTTACACCTCCATTTCTCGAAGCGTAAAGTTACATATATATTTCTTTGTCTATGAAATTTAAGCTGGAACTTACACGCATATAATTTCCCTCTAGAGGCTTTCATGGATAATATAGAAACCTTAAGAGGAAAATAAAAGAAAGAAAAAAGAAATGAGAGAAGAAAATCCTTCAAAGAATTAAAAAAATACTTTTATACAAAACCATCTTTTTTCCTATATTTTACTTCAAGAAGTAATTTAAAATTTTTCTTTTGTATAAAAGTATTTTTTTAATTCTTTGAAGAATTTTCTTGTCTAATTTCTTTTTTCTTTCTTTTATTTTCCTCTTAAGGTTTTCTTAATGTTTTAAATACTTATTGATGCTACACCTCAATTTCTCAAAGCGTAAATTTACATATATATTTCTCTGTCTATGAAATTTAAGCTGGAACTTACATGCATATAATTTCCCTCTAGAGGCATTCATGGATAATATTTTCTGCAAATTTAAACGCATAAGTACGATGTTCCTTCCATATAGCTTACTTAGCATATTATATTTCTTATTATTTTTTTACGCTACTAATACTTAAGATATACAAAATTTTCTTTTCTAATGTATTACACCATACTACTAACACTTAACGGGTGATACTCCGAACTTTCTCTTCTAACGTATTATACTAACGTTTTGCAACACTATACAAAAACATCGTGAATTCTCTTTTACACATCTCATTTTTGTTCAAAGGATTCACGAAATGTATCAAACAAATGTAAATTTTTAACTTTCTATTTTCCATTTAGACATTTTGCCTTACATTTAAACTTTATCATCTTTTTAAAACATCCCTGTTAATATTTCTAATTTATTTTTTTCCTAAAATTAAATACAGACTTATACAGATTTTTTAAAGATCTACTGACTTTGAATTAAACCTTCTAATTCAGAAAAAATAAATTTTCACAACATAAAACTCTACTTGAACTAATATATGGACATATCTCTAGCCAGTTTAGTTCAAATACATACGAAACAATATGAAATTTCTTATTATTGTCTACCCCAGTTTAATACGTACCAACAGCATTTCATTTTCCTATTATTTTACATTACAGACATTTACGTGAATATATTCAGAAAACTCCTTTTAATTGAGCAGGAGGTTTCAGATATATTACTAACACAGATTGACTCTTTGAAATATTTTCAAAAAATATCTTGGATTTTCTTGTACACATTGTATTTAAATCACCGAACATACGTTAAATTTTGATTTCTATCATGGGAAAACTTCACCCGGATTTTAATGTGATCCCACCATTTACCGCAGACCTTCATAAACACTGCTATATTTGAACTTAACACAGATATTGTTTTTTAACAAGCTACAGAATTTTTAACTACAGAGAAGAATATCCACATTGTAATGTAATATTTTAAATTCACTATAGAGCCATATTTGTGT